ACACACCCTTCAAAATGAATTCACCCAACTGCAATGAACACCATGCCCCAAAACAGAATTCACTGTATCACTGTAGTTCACACTAAAGCAGCCCTACGCTATCAATTCTCTATTAGGATCTTTGGACAATTAAATACCCTGCTGACATTTTCACTCTAAGTAAATGAATAAACTGACTGACTGAAGTTTACGGAAGCCTACAGAATGAACATCATTTCCTCCCTAACAGAGGTAGACAGTGCATTTGTGTTGGGCAAGGAGTGGTACTGGGGATTGAAGACAGCCTGGCAGCCTGGGAAGTACTCTACCACTTGAGGCAGTAAATCTTAAGACAACTTGGCCTTTGAAAGGCAGCACTTCCTACTATTAGTATTAAGACTTTTTAGAAAAGCAAGCAATGTGAGAAAGGCAAAGCTCCAGCTCAAAAGTGGTTGCAGCTTCGTAACTTTCTATCTCTACGTGTGGCACATTATTTTATTATGTTAGCAACCGTGAATCCTCAGACCTGGACAGAGCAATCAAAAATTACCAGGGATGTCCTAAGAGGGAAAACATCTGTCACTTTCAGACCACACTCTAAAATCACCAGGGAGTTCTGATCTCATGGAATAAAGCAAATGATGACTGATGCAGAAAGAAAAAAATATTCTTACTCTTCTCCCATTCACTCTCTACGGTCTAACAATAATTTCAAAGCATTGCTATTTTCAAATAGAAGTAATGCCAGGGAAGAAACACATCAAATAGATCATCAGCCTGCTCATTCACGCATTCAAAAATTAGTTGAGTGCCTTCTATGTGTCAGACTGTGTGAAGTCAGTGAGAACCTGTCTTTGTGTTTGAAGGAGCTAGCTTTAAGAGAGGAAAGTACAGGGAACATCTGATGGCTCAGGGATGGAGGTCAGAGGTTTGCCATAGTCTAAAAGGACAAGCTCTGGGTGTCAGGGTGGCTGACTAAAGGCAAGGGGCACACACACGCTAAGGAGGAAGTACGCAAGAGAACATACTTCTTAGACCCCACTCAAGTTACAGTATGGAGTATGGAGGTGCTGACATGAGAGAAAAAAAGTAGAAAGCAAAATGTACTGTCCCAGGTTGAAGGCTTGAAGAAGCTTAAAGACTAGCTGCACATCAGGACCTCCACTACTGGGTGCTCCGTCAAGGGAAGTACTTTTCACAGACGTGACCTACAGGTGAGATACGCTTTCCTTTCTCCGCCCCTCCTTGTAGTAGTCAGCAAGTCCCTCAGCTCACTCAAAACATTCACAGGACAGATGGACATTTTACAAATCCTCTGGCAGCACTGTGGAGGATGACAATCAGTTCAAAGTGATGATGAAACGGTCAGGGCCTGGTGAAAAGGGCCCAAGGGAATGGACAGTGTGCAGGGTCGAAGGGCTTCAACTGTGTCTGTGAGACAACTTTTACTGTAGTGCTCAGCCTCAACATTAAATTAAATTAATAAAAATCATACATGCCGCTGGGCAAGCCTATAGGCCCAGCTACTAGGAGGCTGAGACAGGAGGTTCCAGGAGTTGGAGACCAGCCTGGGTAACATACTGACATCCCAAAATTAAAAAAAGAAAAAAAGAATACATGCACCTTTGGTATTCCTAGCTCCTATTCTAAGCAACAAACATATCCGATTCATGTTAGTATAAAAACGTTGGTTTTTATAGCAGTATTTTTTTTAATGTACTCTAAAAGCAAGAATAACTTCCATATTTATCCATGCCTCCATTAGACAGAGGGATTATATTAATCTTAACTTCAGCAATTTAAGATGTTAACATATAATTGACAGCAATTATCTATCAAAAATGTACAGGAGATATTTCCCTCCATTAAAAAATGATATTAACTAAACAGATACAAACTGTGCCACAGTGCATTATCAAAACATTGTAAGACAAGGCTTCCGATACCCAGCTGTGCAGAGAAGGGCCCTGAGCACCACGCCACATGATCAGGACTGGTGACTCATTCTCTCCAGAGTTCAGAGAGCAGTGCTTCGCAGCAGTGCCTACCTTCCACTTCAGAAGAGAAAGGAGTAGTAGGGCCAGCCTCCACAACTGCCAGGTCATTTAAATTAAAATATTTGTACACAGTAACTTTTCCAGTGGGAAAGAAGTTACCTGCAGGACAGTCAAGGATACATTTTGGGACCGCTCTCAAAGAAGAAAGCAGAAAAGTGCAGAGCAATCCTACAAATCCATGAACTGTAATGGAGAGTTCCTTGATTCCCTGCAGGATTCTGCAAATCCTTCATTGCAGGCCCTGCAGAGAAATTGTACTTTTCAGCTGTCTCTATTGAATGTGTAATGGAGTGATGATACTTTATTTCAAATCAAATGATGAGTAATAAAAAATCTTGGTCATACGAAACTATAATTGGCCATATTACTAAATTAATTCCTTTACAGAGAAAACTTATTTACATTCTTTTTTGGTCCTTCCTGATACTAGGTGATAGTAATATAAAAGACATCAAAAAGTGTGACTTTAACTTAAAGAAACTGGAAACAGTAAAAGACACAAAGAAAAGCAGTCTTAAGAAAAATGAGGTCTGCTCAGTAGCTTGTTGAAATAGTTTCAGGAATTAGCAAAACCTAACTGCAACTAAGATTGAGCCCACTTTCTAGGCATGTTCTCCAAACTACGCTCTCATGTTTACGTTCCATCCTTCTCAATTACATGGGTGAAAAGATAGAAACAAAGACATGAAAAGGGAAAAGCAAGGACAAACATGTGAAATGTAACACGGCAGATCAAGTATTACACTGGGATTTGGGAAAACCAGGTGCTATTCCTAACTTTTCCCTTTGTAGCTGAGGCAAATTACTACCCACCTGTAAAAGAATTTCTAAGATCCCTTCCCAACATAAAACTACACAATTTTACACCTGTCAATACTATATTCCTAATGATTTGTCCCCAAACCTGCAGTGCCCAGAAAATTTTAAATTAGAACTGTTTCTGGGTTTTAAAAAGTTCCCAAGGAATCGTAGCATCTACCTTTATCACATAAGTAACAGAGAACTCCAAAGCACATGATTATCATGCAAATAGATTACACTAGATCTCCCCATGGTGAGCTTCATGAAATTTACAGGCATGCTTCCTTATGTCTCACATTTTTATGTCACCTGAAATAACATACAAACATTCCAGAAAGTTGGTGATAATTCAATTCTGTGCCTATCTTGTTCCCTGAACAAATAGAAATGACAATAACTTGTAAAGTTATACCACAAAAAAGTAGGTTTGACATGTTCCTTCAGTCTTGTCAAAGTTAAAATTGAATTCACTTTAAAGGATTTCCTTACCGTGTAAGTTCTTAAACCATCTTTTCTAAATAAACTTCAGTACCTATCAGCTGACCATGCTGGAAACTTCCTGCATCTTATTTCCTTTACTAACTTTGGCCATTAAATATATGCTTTCCTGTTTTACCTCTATTATCCCATTTTTTCGTGAAATATGAGATAATTCTTTTAAAACTTTCTCCTTCCCCAAAATACATTTCAAAGTACATACCTCCACGTGATACCAAATGTTGGTCTAGGAGAAGGATATGGCCATATATCCAAGGCAGGTTTTGCATTATAATTAAAATAAGGGACTTCTCGAATTCCTCCTTTTCTGGCCAACTTCTTCAAGTCATCGTTGGGCAAGACAAATATGCTTTTCTTGCTGCTCTTGGTAACGAACTTCCTATAGGACGGCAGTGCTGTACCTGAACGAGTCTTCTTCGGTCTTGAAAACTTCATCAGTTTCACTTTGTCTCTCGTGGAATACTCTTTGCTCACAGTCATAGATGTGACCAGTGTGCCTCCTGCAGTGGTCAGAGAGTCTGTCACTGTGGTGGTGACCACGGTTTTGCTCTGCTCCTTGACAGAGATGATGTCCACACTGCTGCCTGTGGAGGGTGTGGAGAGCTTTGTGACTGTTGTAGTGGTGGTCGTGACAGTGGATTTGGCACAATTTTCTGTGGAAGAGACCACAGTGTGCTTATCGCCTTTCGCTACCTTGATCACAGTTTTTGATTCTGTGGCAACCGTGGATGTCATTGTGGTGACTTCTGTGATGACTGTTTTTCTTTTGGACTCCCCATTGATGTTTTCAGCTTTGTTGGTGGTTAGACCATTTTCATCAGTAAAATCATTACTAAGGTTAGAATCCTCTCCAGAAGTAACAGGTGATGGGGTAACTTTCTTAACTTCTGGGGTTTCGATTTCCATATCTTCTACCTGATTAAATGAACTGCTTTCCGGACAAGAGGACAGAGATGTGGTCATCTCTGTACGGTCAGACTCTTTGGTTGAGGGCAGGGTCCTGAGGCCATCTTGGTAATTACCTTCAGCATCTGCAGAACTCAATAAACATGAATTTGTTTCTGAATTGCTTTTTTCACTAAAATCTTCCATGATAACATCACCATTCACAAATGGCTTTACAGCAGATTCTTTAACAGTCAATGACTTAATATTTTCAGGTGTTATTTTATTTATATTATTAACTCTGGGTTCAACATTACCACTTACTGCTACTTTACTTTCAGAGATTTCCTTCAAGCATTCACTTTTCAAATATATTTTAGTTTTATTATCTTTTCCATTTACCTGAAACGTACTTCTCTGTCCTTTCTTTTCAGACTCTCGATTTTCATTGTTCCTTTTGTCATTGACATTTTTCAGGCTTATTTGATCAATACATTTATTGACTGTTTTTTCCTCTAATTTGGGCTGTTGACATGGTTTTTTACCATTTGTTTCAGTTACCCAACCCTGTAGCTGGTCGTCACAGTTTCCAGTGGATTTAGAAATGAGCTCACATTTCATAGGCTCCAAATTTTCAATACCTTGTTCTGGAGTTATGAACTGTTCAGAAATATTTTCATTGCTATTCTGAACCATCATATCTTCTTCACTACTATCCTGAATAGACATAGTATCTGAACTATTTTCCAAAGTGCTATTACATTCAGAATCACATCCTAGTTTTCCATCAAAATCCACTGCTTTTGAGAGAGATGGGACATTTCTGTTGTTGGTACTTTTAGGTACTGACGTAAGTAAAGCATTTTTGGAAGAAATAATGTCATTATCCTCCTGTCTGAGTGGTTTTTTGTTCTTATACATCAAAGGACCAAAATTATCAGTATTGGCTGGTTTAGAGACATCAATGAAAAACTCTCTTCCTTTTGTTTTAGTCTTACCGAGTTCCTGGCCTTTACTGGCAGTTTCAGAGAGACTCGCATCCATGTCATTTTCAACAGAATTTTGTTTCTGATCATTTGTCCCTGGACTCTGAACAGAGACATCATCTACCATTTGATCTTTTGGATAAAGCTTGCTTGTGGCAAAACTAGAATCACTAACTGCAAGTTCTGAGGAATTATTATTTTGTGAGCATTCCTGAAGTGTGTCCTCACATTTATCATTATTTGCACTGGGGTTCTGTTCTTTAAGCAAGTCACTTTGACATTCTTCTTTTGCTTTTGTTGATACTGGTGACTCTGAGAGACTTTTCAAGGAACTTGTAGAAGACTTTCCTGTACCCTTAATTCCACCCTCCAACTTCATTTTTTCAAGGCGCTGTTTTTCTTCCAGTGTAAACTGTTTAATTCTCCTTTCAAGAAGCCCATCTAGTTTGGAAGATTTTGTTTTCTTTTTGTAACTAGTCCTTAGATGAAAACCCTCACTGACATTGACCACATCTACTTGAGAACTTTCCTGACAATTTACATGTGACTCCGTTTTCACACCGTCATCATCTATCTCCATTGGTTCCTCCTTGAAGGATTTATCGTCAGAATCTAACAGCTCTTTTACATCTGTGAAATAGACATTTTTATGAATGCAATTATTCTGAAATGAGAAATTGAGACTATTTTTACTTTTAAAAGTATCTGTTTTTCTTATTTTCACACTAGAACATAAAAAAGTTATATATTTTAAAGTTTCAGAAATATGATTAAAATAAGTCATGGACATAGGGTTAAACTTTATGAAAGGCTAAAAACACATATTTTCCAAATATTTAATTATTGTGATTTTTAGTATGTAAAAATGGAATGCCACAATGAAAAAATTTAGTATGTGAAAGGCTACTGCGTACAATACTGTCTTCACATAAGATTTTGTACAGCCTTTTACAGTTCTAAACAATCTTTAAAGCTGGGTGTGGTAGCTGGGTGTGGTTCTCCACCACCTTGGAGGCAGAAGCAGGAGGATCAAGTGGGAGGATCATGTGTGTGAGGCCATCCTGGGTTACATGGCAAGTTCAAGGCCAGTATGGGTCTACACAGTGAGACCCTGTATCAAAACAAAATGATCTTTAGGTGCATGCATTATTTAGCTTATATGGCTTAAAAAAAACCAAAACTTTTTTTCTTACAAAAGACAATGTAAGTTTCTCAAAAGGTTAAACATGAAGTTACAATATAATCTAAGAATTCTACTCCTAGGTCTATCTCTGAGGGGTGTTAACTTAGATCTTCAAAAAAACCTTATATCTGAATGGTTATATTACTCATAATAGCTAAGAAACAGGAAACAACCCAAATGTCCACTGACCAATGACTGGATGAACAAAATGTGGCCTACCAAGATAATGAAATATTATTTGACAATAATAAGGAGTAAGTACTAACATATGCTACAATATGGATGGGCCTTGAAAATACTGTGCCAGGTGAAAGAAGCCAGCAGCAAAGGACGACATATTGCCTAACTCCATTTAAATGAAGTGTTCAAAACAGGCAAATCCACAGAGACAGACTGGCAGACTGGGCGCATGTGGGCAGGAACTGGGAAGTGACTGCTCGTGAATATAAGGCTTTCCTTTGGGGTGATGAAAATGCTCTAAAACTGACTGTGATAATGGCTGAACACATGAAGTAGTATGAATAAACTACTACATTTCCACCTTGACTAGGGGAACTACCCAACACATGAATCATGTTTCTTAATAAAGCTGCTGCCCAAAGAGACAGTGCAGTACCTTCCTGTGGTGGGAACCCAGTCCAAGGCATTCCTATCACCCCGCTGCCCTCCACACTCGGCTCTCCTTACCTCGGTCCTTCTTCTCAGTCATCTTTGAGATAGCCATTTCACTTTGGTCTGCTCCCTTTGCAGCATCTGAATCTTTTACCTCGCCTTTTTCAGACTCAGACTCTGCTTTTATTTTTTTTGGACTTTGTGGACTTTTTCGTTTATCTGATTCATCCATATTTTCATCTGTAATGTTTTTGGCTAAAAGGAACCACATATGACAATTACATGTATTTCCAATACTAGAAATTTACCTTAATAAATCTAGCTTAGATATATTAGAAACTCAAGTATTTTCCAATAAGTAATTTCATTATCTCTCGTGAAAACTGAGGGCACGCATTTTCCTACAGGCAAGCTTCAAATGCTAATGGAATATCCATTCTCTAAGCTATAAGAATCCTGACACTTCAAACAGACAACTATGCAATGTTCGCTTGGGGTTTTTCCTGCCCGAAAGCTCTTTTAGGGCTGGGGGCGTAGTTAGGCGGTACAATGCTTGCCTTGCATGTGCCAAAGCCCTAGGTATGAACATCCCCAGCACTGCAAAAAAAAAAAAGTTTCTCAAATTGATTTCTCTTCACTCAACACATCTATGCTTCCATCTCAGGATCAGAATAGGTTAGCCATTATGACAGCATGACCAGTAGCCCTGACACTGTCAATTAGTGGTTACTGTTGCAGTCACTGTGATTCCTGCTTTGTAAATAACGTTAAGCTAAGTCCAGGGACCTGGACAATGCACTGCTGCTTTCCCCCCTGCCACTACCTTGGAGGCAAAGTTTGAAAAGACCAAACTGGTACCTGACTTTATATATGTATTTTAAAAGTATCTGAACAATGGAAAATCCTATACTATGGAAAGCAGATTGTAAAATAAATCTGCAAAAGCATAAATAATCTGTATACTGATCAGGAGGATTTTATTGCATAGGTCAAAAATCAGGTGAGACAATTAAACAAAGAGCTCTTTGTAATTCTAAGTGCTATGGGTGAATGGAGCAATGAAATGTTAATAAAAAATCTTATAATGATCTGTTGGAATTTATTATAATGGATATTTAATACAAATATAATTAGATAACAATAAAATTAAGCACTGACTATTGCTATTTCCCAAGTAGAAATATCATTGGCCATCTACTTGTCCAAGATGCTACTAGGCCCTCATAAATTCCATTGAGCCTTATAAAATATGTATTTTTCCTGCTTAAGATAAGGCAATGAAAACTTTCCTATGTTAACAGTTTCAGAAACCTGCCAGTCCAGGTTTCACCAGAACATTCAAAACAAGCTGAGGTAGTTCAGCTAGGTAAATACATGCTATTCCTCATGCACTGCATCTCATACAGGTTTCAGAGGAAACAACACAGGATAGTATGCATTAGCAAATCTTGCTGCATAGCAAACACAGATGCTGCTGAAAATAACATAACAAAAGAGAGACCACCTGGAAGATGGACAAAAGGGCTACAGAAGTCAGGAGAAATGGGTTCTGGTTAGGGTTCTATTATTCCCCCATCTGTGTGAACATTAGTATGTACTTAGTATCTCCGTGAAATAATTACTCATTTAACAGAAGTTTAAAAGTCCCTGGTCTCAGCTGGGAACTGGTGGCTCATAACCATAATCCTAGCTACTCAGGAGGCAGAGATCAGGAGGATCATGGTTCAAAGCCAGCCTGGGCAAATAGTTTTTGAGACTGTATCTTGAAAAACCTTGTAATAAAAAAGGGCTTGTGGAGTGGCTCAAGGTGTAGATCCTGTATTCAAGCCTCAATATCGCAAAAAAGGAAAAAAAATCCCCGGTCTCTTAGAAGGGCCACCTCTAGAGTTCTGTGATTCTAAATACTACCATTTTTTAATCACTAATAAAAACTGAATAAATAGTTGTTACATGACAGTGTCAAAGAAGCCCGTACCACTTCTTTTCTGGGTTTATTATGTGCAATAATGCAGAAATTACCGAACATGTGACTCCTCAAAAAGTCAACTAGTATAAAATTTAACATTTTGAAAAACAGTAATGCCATTATTAGGTAGCAATGGCTTTCTTTTTTTAAACGAGTTTTTGCTATCATCTTTCATTAACTGAAATCCTAGGTATCAAACGCTTGTAAATAAAGGTATTTTTTAAACTTTAGAGTACAGTTAGTAAGCTACTATAGTTATTTTGGACATATTACTGAAAATTTTAGAAAAATGCTCTTATCTAAAATATGGATGGACTGGAGCATGCCATAATCCCAGCTACCCAGGAGGCAGAGCTCAGAAGAGTCTAGGTTTGAGGCCAGCCTGGGCAAAAAGTGAGAGATCCCAATCTTAACAAAAGAAGCCAGGGATGGTGGTATGTGCCTATGGTAGAGCTATGTGAGAGGCTTAAGTAGGAGAATGATGGTCTCAGCCTGACCCTGGGCAAAATGTAAGATCTTATACAAAAACAACTAAAGCAAAAAAGGGCTGGGGGAGTGGTTCAAGTGGCATAACACCTACCTAGCAAGTGTAAGGCCCTGAGTTCTAAACCTCTGTACCTCAAAAACAATAAAAAAAATTTAATGAAATATAATATATTCAATATACTATGAATTTCTAAGAAAATGACAGAAATCAGAAAGGTTCTGCAGAAAAATCATTATTACTACTATTACTACTAAAAATATTAATTCAGCTACTTACATCCTTCTAATGATTTTCTGTAATTCACATTAGTATTGCCTGGTAATTTAGGAACAAACCTATAAACATGAGTTTTACTAATCCAGCTCCAGCCACCATATCCTGTTACTCTGTACTCCTCTCCTTTTTGTTTCCAAACCTGGTGTAAAAGAAAACACACTAGTTAAACAACATGTTTATAAACAGTAAAGGTCAAGCAAATTAATCAAATTTACCAACTAATCTAATACTAGACATCAAATGTTTATGAAGGAACTTAGTACTTAGATGTGAAATGCAACAACATTTCATAGTGTTATATAACAATCACAACAAGTTGGTCTTGGACCCACCTATAGTCTACTAAAAGAAACCTTGTAAAATTACCAGAAAGATGTACCTTATTGCAACTACATTAATTACAAGATCATGTTAAAAGTAAAACCAAATTAAGTATTGAAAACTGCAGAGTAAAAGTGTCAGAAATGGCTAACATGATTTAGAAAGATTATAGGCAAAGTTACCTGATGCTTAACTGGAAATGTGTATTTTACCCACGTGGCTTGCTGCATTGTTTCTTCCTCTTCTTGTTTTTTCTCCTTTTTTTTAACTTTCTCCTTTTCTTCTCTTTCAATTGACGTCATCCTATGTAAACCTAAGAATACATGGATAGAAAAACTGAATTACATTTAGCTTAAAAATGAACAAAAAGATAAAAATGCAATACTGAAAATTAGGCACAAAAGCAAAGACTGCTTAGTTGTAACACCACAACCCAGACAATCCCAAATGACAAAAATAAGTAGTTGTAACATTCCATGACAGCTTTACAAAGTGGCAAAATCAACAAATGCTATCCTTTCTGCATGTCTTCCCCGACAAAATACTTATGTTTTATTCCTGGAGCATTTTGTGCATATGACCAACATTTTATATGTCTTTACATAATCTGTTACACATTTATACAAAGGGTACTGATAATGCACACAATCACAATTTTTAATCAGTGAATAATTGTACTAGATCTTTCCACATCAGAATCAAAGATCTCTTCTAAAAATTAAGAAATAGCTGGGCACGGAAACACTCACCTCTGTCCCAGCATTTGTGAAGCTGAAGCAGAAGGATCAGGGGTGTCAGGTCAGGCTGGGCTATGTAGGGAGTCTGTCTGAGAAACAACCAACCAACCAACTCTTGCCCTCCTCTCCTTCCCTGTGACTCTGGGACTCCAGTATATAGTCACCCTCAGGCTGAGAGTTCATATCTATTAAACGCACACACCTAAAACAGCAGTGTTCTCCATATGGCTCCTATAGTTCTAAACTGATGGGAGGAGGCAAAGCAGATGGGTTCTACTGGGAACTTATTTACTTACTTAAATAACATCCTTCAGCAATACTTTTGGTACTAGGGAGAAAATCAAGTTCTGGAGGCTCAACATAGTGGACAACCTGACAGACTCAGCCCCAGAGTAAAAAGTGACTACGCCAGGATGAAGTACTAATTCTCACAGAATTCTGGGCAGCTTTGCACACTTCTGAAAGGCCAGGAACAGAGCACCATATGGAAAATCCTAGTACGGTGACACTCTAGGAGCTCACAGTTTGGGCTCCTGGAATCTGTCCACAGGCAAACATGTCCTTCCTCATCACCAAATACAAAAGATTCACTTTCGCTGAGGCTGTAGTGTCAAAGCTCATCTATGATGTTATCTATCCCTGAGCAAAATTCTACTGTTCTCCTGCCACCAAGACATCCTTCTTGGAGAGGCAACACAGGGGAGCTTCACAGGAGTTCAGTGAGGAGTTCTACTCTGTTTGGTGAGTAGAAATATCCGTTACTGCTGGCAGCCTGGAGGCCCCAGAAAGGAAGCTCAATCAGGCTGGTACCATGCAGCCTCCAGCTAACACTCTATTCTGGTGGTGACAGATTTTCCTAGTCAACTGAAAACCTGGCCAGGAGAATGGCCTGAGTGTCAACTCCACCCCTAACCGTCATGCAGTGCTTAGGCTCTGTTGTGTTTCTTTTCTATTACACTAAGGATCCAACCCATGACACTGCATGTCTTTCATCTGAAAGTAGGGTGTATCCCTCTGAGCTCCTAGTGAGGGGATGGCTCAGACCAAAAGTTCTTGCACTTACACACTGACAGAGCATGAAGGGCACAATTCTGAGGAGCAATGTGGCATCAACTGCAAAGCCCACAAGCTGTCCCACACTGTCAACAGAGCTGAGAGATAACTGAACTTCCAACTGCTAGCCCAACTGAGAAGTAAAAACTGCTACTGTTCTTTAATTACGAGGGAAATAACCTCTTTTTATATCTACTGGCCTTTTATATTTATTTTTCTGCACAATGCCTGCTCAAATCCTTTGTTTGTATTGGACTATTATTCTTTTTCATTTATAAAAGGTCTCTATCAATTAAGGAAATTTTCCATTTGTGGTACAAATATTTTTCCTCAATTGGTCATGTCTTTTGATTTTGATTATAATATTATTTTCCACTCAGAATTTTAAATACATGTATCCACTTTTCTCCTCTAGGAGAAAACCTAGGCATCTAGGTTTTATATCTGTTTAAAAAGAAAGCATTACAATAAAAAATATAAATTAATTAATGCTTTCTTTTGAATTTTTTTTTTTTTTGTTTTTAAAGTTGTGTTTTGCTTTTTTTAATCTGCATAAGTCTGAGTGTTTTGCTAAATAACAGATCCAGGTGACATTTTCCCCCAAACATGGCTTTTTCACTTTCTGATGTCTAATGTTCCAAATAAATTCCCACATGTTTAGGTCTATTTCTGGATTCTGTATTTTGTTCATTGTCCTGTTTTTTCTGTTGGACAAATTATTTTCAAAATGCTTCAAAATGTTCTAATGACTATTTTTTCTTTTTTTGAGACAGGATCTCACTATGTAGCCTAGGCTAGCCTCAAATTCCTCGTTTCCCTCTGTCTCCTGAGTACTGGGATTATAGGTGTGTACCATCGCACTGGGCTCTATTACTTATTTTTAATATCCATTTCCTTTTGTAACTATTCTTTCACATCAATTTCCCTAGATAAAATATTACTACCATTTTGGTTGCCTCCCATAGCCCTAGGAGGGCAAGTGCTATTCACAAGGTAGGTATCCTTTAAGTCTTTAGTTAAGTTTTAAAGATTGCTTTATATAGATCCTAAATGCTCCTTGTTAAATTTATTCCTACCTATTTGAAGGTGTTTTTATTTTTTCTTTGTGGGACTGGGGTTTGAACTCAGGGCTTCGCAAGTACAAAGTAGGTACTTCCAGCTCATTTTGCTCAGATTATTTTCGAGACTGGGGGGGGGGGTGTCTTATGAACTATTTGCCTGGGCTGGTCTCAAACCTTGATCCTCTGGATCTCAGCCTCCCAAGAAGCTAGGACTACAGGCGTGAGCCTCTAGCGTCCACTACTTGAAGGCTTTTGCTGTTGTTAGCATCTGTTCATCATAATTGTTAAAAATACATAAAACACAACCAAGTCAAGAAACTGAGCTTTCTCAATAACCAATACATCAGAGAAGCTTGTGTCCCACCTGTGGCAATTATTACTCGAGCTTTTATATAGTTCCCTTGTTTTTCCTTACAGTTTTACTACCTAGGTATGTATCCCGAATAGTAAAACATAGTAAAAAGCACAAAGCACACCTCTAATTTCAGTATTCAGGAGGCTGAGGTAGGAGGATCACAAGCTCAAGGCTAGCCTGGGCTGCACAGCAAGACCCTGTCTAAAAAAGCAAATACAGACAGACAACAACAAAACTACTGTAAGTGCATGAACAAAAGAGTGATATTGTCACTATTAAAGGTTTCCAGGAAAATATAAACTGATCTCTAGATCACAGCCTGGCTGTAGCTTCCAGGGAAGTTTATGACTATTGTTTGGTGACTCAGTGGACAAGGTCATGAGTACGCCAGGAAGATTGAGGGCTCGTCACAACCAGGGCGTCTGTCAGACTGCAGGTAACACAGGGCCACGACAGGCACGTGATTCAGAGTGGAATACTCATGGCCACCCATTTCAGTGCCCCCAATGGTTCAGCAGTGTAACCTAGGAGTGTTTTCACATGGTCCCTGGCCGTCCCACACAGGCTGCCATTTGTTCATTTGCACTGTTGCTTCTGCAGTTTTATTGCTGCTGTAGTCTCTGCGTTCCCCTGCCCTTGTGGGTTTAAAATTTTTAAAAAATCATTTTGGGAGCTGGGGATATGGCTCAGAGGTAGAGTGCTTGCCTAGTACAGGATGGCCCCAAAAAGGAAAAAATCCTTTGCCATAGTTTTGATGGAGAAATCTAGTGTGTTTATTCAATGTGTTACTTAGCAGAGTTCCCTCTGTAGTTCCTTCAAAACCAAAGCAAAAAGGATTGGTGGCTCAAGTGGTAGAGCACCTGCCTAGCAAACTTGAGGCCCTGGGTCCAAATCCCAGTACTGCAAAAGAAACCCAAAACAAAACAAAAACTTTCAAATTGTATCATAGTTCATGTATTTTTAGTGATAGAATTGATGTCATTTTATTGTAGACTTATGAGATTCAGTCTTGTTGACAACTGTTGCTCTGGCTTGTTTTTCACTGCTGTATAGCAGCCTGTAATAAAACTTCAGGGCCATAAAGGAGATGTCTCCCACTATTTAACACTTGAGACACAACACCAATCTTTTTGTGCTTCAGGAATGTTTTCGGATATCATCTTGTGTTTTGCCCAGATCTGGCTTCACACTGTAGTCCTCCTACCTATGCCTTCTGTGTCTCTGGGAACACACGCATACATCACCATGCCTGGCTTGCTCTGCTGAGATGGAGTCTCACTAACTCTCTCCCCCAAGCCCCAGGCTGACCTCCTGAGTACTGTCTCCCAAGTAGCTGGGATTACTGGAGCGAGCCAGCACACCTGGCCAAAATTACCTCTTTATTACTGGTCTTTTCCATAGAATTTAAAAAATCATTTTGTCAAATTGTATAGAAAATCCTACTGTTTTTAATGCTATTGAAATTAATTTATACATTAACAGTAGAAAAACTGACATTTTCAAGATATACTCATTCTTCTTAAACATGAAGAACATGAGGTATTTTTCTTGTTTATTTATTTATTTATTTTTAGCAACACTGTGGTTTGACTCAGGGTATCATGCTTGCTAGGCAGTCACTCTTACCACTTGAGCCATTCCACCAGCCCTCTTATTTAAAAATATTGTTACTGTTAGATATTTATACTGTTCTTGAAGCTCTGTCATTAATTAGCACAATAAAGAAATTTTATGATCTATGGCCATACCATCCTAAACATGCCCAATCTCATCTGATCTCAGAAGAAATTTTACAAGTAAAACATTAGTTTGAATTTCTAGGTACTTTCTTAGGATCAAGTTTTAAAAGTTCCTAAAGTATTTAGTCACATTCTATGGCCAGAAGTGAAGTTCTATTATCAATTCCTAATTTTCTTGAATTCTGGTCCCTAGTTTTTAAAAAATTTAGTGTTCTATTTTATCTCACATCGACATATAAAAAAATTAGGGTTTTGGTGGTACTGGGATTTGAATTCAGGGCTTCACATTTGCTAGGCAGGCTCAAGTGGAGGCACTTAAGCTATGCCACCAGCAAAAAAATTATTTTGTATGTTTTGTCAGATACCATATTCATGGTAGAATCTTATAAATTTACATGTTGGGAAGACTAGTCATAGCAACAAACCAGGAAAGAAAACAATACCTGGATTAAAAAAAAATCTAAATTCCATCTTTCACAAGAATGTTTAATTTTTTTCTTAATTAATTTTTTTTATAGTACTGAGACTTGAATTCAGAGCCTTCACCTTGAGCCACTCCACCAGCCCTAATTTGTGGGGGTGGTGGGGGTGGAGAAAGGTTTTTTCGAGATAGCATCTCTCGAACTATTTGCCCCAGCTGGCTTCAAAACTTGATCCTTCTGATCTCTGCCTCCTGAGTAGGTAGGATTACAGGCATGAGCCACCAGTGCTGTAAATGTTTAATATTTAAAAACAAATGTACAAAAGGTGTGATTTAGCAATTTTGTTAATTATGGGAATTTTCTTTAGCAACATTTAGTTTAGCTTTATTTCTAGAGACACTGGTCTCTGTCTCTGGAGACATGTGGCTCCTTGGGTCCACAAACACAAGCATCAGGATGGTAGGTGACTAGGAGAATGTTGTGAAGAATGGTTTTGGGCAAGGCTGGAGGCAAAGTTAAGGAGTGACAGAAACACAGAGACCATCTATCTGTATCCCCTTCCCAGTACTTCTGACTCTCTCCTGTCTCCACCTTGATAAAAGAGAGCAAAGACAAGTACAGTGAAGTATGCCACCCATTTACACTCTCTCCTCTCCCATGGTGCAGTTCTGCAGCACCTTAGCTTAATCCTGTTCTTCAGCTGTAGGAAAATTAAGTCCACTCCATGTGAGGAGCCTCTGGTGATAGCAGCAATTATAATCAAAATAAGATGTGAAATAGACATAAATTGGTATTTCTTAAAGACATTTTTATTATGAACTAAAACATGGGAAAAGTAATGCAAACTATATATATGTATCTTAAAATTAATGGGTTATACTATTGATGTGAACTTTGTAGCAGAGCAAGGAACATAAAATAATTCTTACTTCTTTCTTTATATTCTTCAATAAACAAGTGTACATTTGTTTTGCAATAATACTTTTTGGTAGCTTGTCTTCTCTCTTTTTGAGACAGGATCTCATGTTGCCCAGACTGACATGGAGCTCTCAGTCCTCCTGGGTTTGGGGTTCTGGGGATTGAACCCAGGGCCTTGTGTATGCTAGGCAAGTATTCTACCTACCATTGAGGTATAATCCCTAGCCATTGTAATAACTTTTTAAAGACTAACTAATGTTTTGAAAAATATTTTTAATTTATATGCATTTGATCTCTTTTGATTTTCATTACAATTATGTATCATAAATAAGAATGGAGACCAAGAAGAGCAAATGAAGTTCTCACATGCCTCCGGAGCACATTTTACCTTTCATTATTAACCCACTAATATTTCAAAAGAGACCAACAGTCATTGTTCACAAGGCTCAGAATCCACTCACCTGGTATGTCCTAAAGACTCTCGCCATATTGGCAGCATCACAACTGGTTTGACTGCACACTCCAAGATAGCTAAAGCCAATGCAAATTCTCTTGGTTTGCTACACATCTGAACAGCCTTGATCCAATTTGCCCTACATTTCAGAAGAAAAGAAAGAAATCATTTCACTTGGCTGATCTTCCTTTAAGCACAATAGTTATAATTTATGATGACTTTATCTTGTGCATGAGAGAAAGGCTTGTCGGTGGCAGTATAAATATATAGCTACTGCAAGTTTCCAGTTCACAGAATCATAAGTTACAGATTTTACACATTGAATGGAATCCCAGAGATCACTTAGACCCCTCAACAACTTGACTTGTACAATGTTCTGGAAATTTGGCCTCTATCGTATTCTAGGGATCAAGACTTTGGTTCCTAAAAATGATCCAAATGCTAGTGCTGGCTCACAGTAACTCAGAAGTGCATGTATACAGCTCCTTTCTGCTGTCCAAATTAATTCACTGATAGCAATATTTTAATGTGCACAGCTACAATAATCATCCCATCAATAAATTAAACTTAGTTTACTTTACCTATGTGAAGCCCAATTGGGATGAAGGAAGGAAGAAGGGATGTTGCTTTCCAGCTGGGTGATGGTCAGTCTCAGAGTAGATATGGTGAGAACTTTGGAACCGTGGACAGAGCCGTTCCATCTGAACTCTCCTGCTGGAGTCAGGCAGAACTTATGCGCAAGATGCCTTCTCTTATCATGGTCTTCCCGGTGCTGGTGCTTATTCAAAGCAAACGAATTGGTGGAGTACTGATTGTGATAGACTCGATACTTCCCTTCTTGACCCAGCTTAAAATAATTGTTGATATTTCCTTTCATGACCACTTCCTTTTTGGTGCTTAGCCGTGAAATTTCTCCTTGAGAGTTAACTACCAGTACCTGACCAAGAAAATAAAAAGACTTCATTATTAATGTCAAGGATGCAAGATTTACCTGATAACTATCTTTCAATAATTGTAATCAATTGCTCAAAGCAATTTAAAATACATTTTATGACTGAACTGCTGAAGTTTAAGTTAAGTGAAAAGTGAAAGCTAGAGCTGGGTGTGGTGGACACTCCTGTAATCCCAGCTCTTGGGAAGCTAAGACAGGAGGATCACAAGTTTAAGGCCAACCTGGTCTACACAGCAAGACTGGGCCTTAAAAAAAAAAAAAAGTGAAAACTAATTATATACAATTATAATTAAATAAGTAGGTAGGTCTGCAAAGAGAATAAAAGTTCTAGTATTTGTTAAGTATCATATGTTAGAAACTACTGACTACTTTTATTAATCTCAAAGCATTCGCCTATCATAATCAAGTTTATAACATATACTTTAGGGATATAGGAGGGATAACCTTCCTAATATTTCTAAAATTAGCTTTCTTTTTCTCCTTTTATTATTCCAGCTTTAGCACAAGAGCCCGTGGATACTTTAGTGTTTTCAAAAAGCTAATCTCAACTCTTTAGTGGATTATGAAATCAATAGTGGATTTTATTCAACTTAAAATAATGAAATAAACTGGGCTCCAGTGGCTCACACGTGTAATTCTAGCTACTCAGAAGGCAGACATCAGGAGGACCGTGATTCAAAGCCAGCCCAGGCAAACAGTTCATGAGATCCTATCTTGAGAAAACACATCACAAAAAAGGGCTGAAGTAGCTCAAACGGCCAAATGTGTGCCTAGCAAGTATGAGTTCAAACCCTAGTACCATCATAAATAAACAAACAAATAAATAATAAAATATAATAGACTAGACTGTAAGAGAAGATATCAGTGCTTCTGACATAGTAAGGTAAATACTATTTCATGAAAGCTCATTGAATGTTAGTGGGGGGCGGGGGGTCGGGGGGGTGTTTGGGCGGGGAGGGGGACAACGCCCCGGGGATAACTTTATTTTCAAAACAACCCCCCCCTAAATACCACTTCAACAAAGATGATCATGTCCAAAGAAAAACAAGACCAGGCTTTTTTTTGGGGACTTGGGGGGGGGGGGGGGGGTTAC